ATCATTGCATCACGCATCGCACACCATCATCATCATCAACCACTTGGTGTAGCCATCTGTGTCTCATCTCTTAACCATTCGCACCCCGAGTACTGGCTACTTTCATAGTGTTGTTACATTCACGAAAAGTGCTATGACAAATGTACAAAAATTCAGTACTGCTAGATGACTCAACATGGTTATATCATGGAAAGAAATGGCAATGTGTATATAAAACTCCAGACCTACTAGATGTGATTAGATTGTGACTTAGTAATGGTTCAAGACGGACCAAAACGTCGTCAAGGTTATCACACGAAAACAAAGATTAGAAGTGCAGTTAAAACCGCACGAAAATACGACACTTCAAAAAATTCTGAAAATAAAATTTTTCAATATGTCTCAGTTTTCCCACTATATTCTATTTCAGGTTCTCTATATTCCTAAAAGGGAACAGTGAGACTTGCGTTGTGGCCTGCCAGAGAGCCAACAGTTGCCACTCTTGTGGCCTGCCAGAGAGCCAACAGTTGCCACTCTTGTGGCCTGCCAGAGAGCCAACAGTTGCCACTCTTGTGGCCTGCCAGAGAGCCAACAGTTGCCACTCTTGTGGCCTGCCAGAGAGCCAACAGTTGCCACTCTTGTGGCCTGCCAGAGAGCCAACAGTTGCCACTCTTGTGGCCTGCCAGAGAGCCAACAGTTGCCACTCTTGTGGCCTGCCAGAGAGCCAACAGTTGCCACTCTTGTGGCCTGCCAGAGAGCCAACAGTTGCCACTCTTGTGGCCTGCCAGAGAGCCAACAGTTGCCACTCTTGTGCCTGCCAGAGAGCCAACAGTTGCCACTCTTTGTGGCCTGCCAGAGAGCCAACAGTTGCCACTCTTGTGGCCTGCCAGAGAGCCAACAGTTGCCACTCTTGTGGCCTGCCAGAGAGCCAACAGTTGCCACTCTTGTGGCCTGCCAGAGAGCCAACAGTTGCCACTCTTGTGGCCTGCCAGAGAGCCAACAGTTGCCACTCTTGTGGCCTGCCAGAGAGCCAACAGTTGCCACTCTTGTGGCCTGCCAGAGAGCCAACAGTTGCCACTCTTGTGGCCTGCCAGAGAGCCAACAGTTGCCACTCTTGTGGCCTGCCAGAGAGCCAACAGTTTGCCACTATTGTGGTCTGCCAGAGAGCCAACAGTTGCCACTATTGTGGTCTGCCAGAGAGCCAACAGTTGCCACTCTTGTGACCTGCCAGAGAGCCAACAGTTGCCACTCTTGTGGCCTGCCAGAGAGCCAACAGTTGCCACTCTTGTGGCCTGCCAGAGAGCCAACAGTTACCACTCTTGTGGCCTGCCAGAGAGCCAACAGTTGCCACTATTGTGGTCTGCCAGAGAGCCAACAGTTGCCACTCTTGTGGCCTGCCAGAGAGCCAACAGTTGCCACTCTTGTGGCCTGCCAGAGAGCCAACAGTTGCCACTCTTGTGGCCTGCCAGAGAGCCAACAGTTACCACTCTTGTGGCCTGCCAGAGAGCCAACAGTTGCCACTATTGTGGTCTGCCAGAGAGCCAACAGTTGCCACTCTTGTGGCCTGCCAGAGAGCCAACAGTTGCCACTCTTGTGGCCTGCCAGAGAGCCAACAGTTACCACTCTTGTGGCCTGCCAGAGAGCCAACAGTTACCACTGTTGTGGCCTGCCAGAGCCAACGGTCGCTGCAGCCGTGGCCCGTTATAAGAGCCAGTGGCATCGCTGAAAGGGTCATCTCATGACTTAATATTCACGTCAGATGGCGAATTCTGATGAATAATTAAATTTACGTAACCAACTGGCAGCACCATTAGTGGAATCAACTTATTTATCGCCGCCTTCAAGCTGACGTCACGTCACCAGGCCAAGGGTGACTGATATGTCCCTGATCATTCGTGGGTGAGGTGGTTTTGTCCGTTAGTAAACGAAGAGGAGTCTGGTAATGCAGGTCTGTCGGACAATGACCCCGCTCAATGATTAAGTAACTGTTGTAATTAAAAAGGCCGTCTGTTATATTAGTAAAGGTCTCCTCTTACTATATTAAAAAGGGCCTTTGTGTATTTTAACCACCTTGTCGGCTACGTCACACTTCAATTGCTGCCGCATCAGGTATCAGTTTTTTTTAACAAGTTTAAAATCAGGCGAAGAATCACATTTTCGTGTATTAGGCTCTTACTACCCCTCTCCCCAACTAGGGTCTACTCAGGAGGGGGGGTGACCCTGCTCTTACTCCCTCCACTAGGTTCTTACTCAAGGGTAACCCTGCTCTGACTACCCGGCAGTATCTTTCTGAAGGCAGCTGTTACATCATGTTTATAGGGGAAGCACTAAGCCAGGAGTCGTACAGCGCATGGAGAATGGAATGTTCTTATAACTGAGATCGAGTCCCCACGGTCCGGTCTCAGTCCATAACAAGATGATAATTCCTTAGTTACTGTATTTTCCCCGGGATTAGAACCTTTTAGATGGTCACATTAAAATAGTATATCAACTTATTCAGATCGTTCTGTAGTGCCCTAATTAGAAACGTTTTGACGGCCTCTTTTAGTGTCATCGGCAAACTTTGTCACTATTTATTTCATCATGGTTTATGTAAACTGTGAACAACGAGCCCAATACAGACTCCTGATGAAGACTTAACAGGTCCAATTCTCATTTTACCCCATTCATACAAACTCTGTTGCCTATCTGTCAACCTTGCCTCGATCCTGGATATAATTCCTCTTATATCGTATGCCGCTACTTTTTTTATCAGTATCTTGTGTGGAACTATCAAAGACCCTACTAAAGTTCCAAGTCACTATCATATTCACTACCTTAGTGAAAATAAGCTAATACGCAAATTATAAAGGAAATATTACAGCAGCAACAGCGTGGTTCACCAGGGAAGCACCAGACGAGCCTGGCCTATGGCCGGGCTCAGGGCGTATAAAAACTCGGAACTCATCAAAGGTAAGGAATAAGAATTGTTAAGAGGTATGCAGGAAACTGAGATAAGTGTATACCGAATTTTAATAGACATTTATAAGATTTCTCTATCATCTTGCATATTCATGATACCTGAAGAAGATATCAGCAATCCTGCTTGAGTGCCAACCAAGTAACAGGCACCAGTTTAATTAACGCTAGTGGCAGGAGGGTTAGTACCTCCCTGTTAGGTTCCTGTCTACCAACCTAACAGCCACAACAAGTAAATAAAGTAAACACATAAATATATTTATATATATACAGCGCAAAACTTACACACTGCTTACGTCTTCCTGTGTTACTTAGAGACATCAAAGGCGCCAGCTTGCATACCCTACACTGGCAGAGCAGCTCTGGTCAGGATGCACCCAGGAGTCGTTAAGAATGCTACTACACTCATCTATATAACACTAAAAGCTACAGAGTGGTTCTGTGTACATTGGTGAATTTACAAATTAAGCAGCACAGACTTGGAAGCAGCACAGTTCTGTAAGTAGAACATCACTAAGTAGCGCAATACCGCAGCAGGTGACCCAGAACTGCTCAAGTGAGGTGGGCAGGTTATGCTATGGGTGTGATAACTTCCTCACCACGCCATACACCACCTCCACAATACATCAGTATAATGTACCAAAGAGTATGTTGCACATTAATAAGACAATTTTCGGTTTGCGGCATTTCACGTAAAAGACATTTCACCCATTATTGACGTCAAAAATTCTCCTGGGAACTGATAAAGGCTTTGGTGGACGAAACGTCTTAAAATGCCATAAACCGCACACAAATCTGATTGAAACACCACCATAACAGAGGCGACACAGATGTTCACCTTGCAGTAGTATCACAGAAATATTCCCAGGAAATATGTGATCATGTAATACTGCTGATTCAGTCTCCATGATCACATATCTTGCTCAAAAGGAATTTCGTTAAGCACAGTAATACAGACTTATAATCGACTCTTACCTTGAACTACATGTCTCTCCTTATTTATCATTGTTACACTGCACTATTATTATTATCCATTACGTTTATGGGGAGCGCTAAACGTTATGGAGTCATATAGCGCCTGGGTGTATGGGAGGCAATTATGTTAGATCCACGGAAGGGGAGAAGAGGTCCAGTTCTCTGTATCAAGTGGCCCCCCCCTCTCCACAGGTATCAGTAGGTTTAGCACTAGGCTTTGATTATAATAATAATTTTTCGATAATATCCATAAACATTTGTGTACACCCTTGTTTGCCCAGGTTAATAATAGTAAACAATAGCTACTAGCCTCTGGAGAAGGCTAGCAGTCTGTTATGCTCTCACAGCTTACTTTAAAGCACAGCTCTATTTAAATATCACCTATGTACATTGTTATTATAATTATTCATTCAAGGGGTAGCTCTAAATCCGTAGGGGATGCACAAACTTGATTCAAGAAATTGGAGCACTGGCCCAGTTTCTTCAGTGGGAAACCCTTCTCCAGCATCAAGGAACCTCCCCTGAGGGGCAGCTACATGCAGTAGTCTGATTATGGGGAAGAGCTAAACCAGTAGGGATTATACAACTCCTGTGGTGGGGGGGGGGAATGAAAGGCATTCAGGTCCAATTCAGGGAACTGAAGCACAGATCCAATTCCCTAGATCAAGAGCCCCTCACCAGCGTCAAGGACCCTCCCCCAGAGGAGTGCAGTAGTTTGAATAACTATGGTTTTGGGTGGCAAGCCAAAGAACTTGAATCATAGGAAAATTGATCGATTTTTAAAGCATGGTTCCCTTTCAAAGCAAAATATTGAAAGCATGACAAATGAACCCAAGTCTCTTAAGGAAAATTATTCACTGATGATCAATAACAACATTTAAAGAAAGATGATTCAATCTTCAACACAAATTTACAATTTGACAGTTGTATTGTGTAGTAGAGTTTCAATTGGAATAACTAGATAAACTTAAGCAAGGTTACTTATTATATACAAGTGTTTCAAGTCGCTGAAAGGAGACAAGAACAGAAAACTTGGCAAGGGTTACAAATATCAGCAGTACGTGCTTGCTGCTGCCTGTTGAACTCACCTGGGCGAAACAGCAACCACCACTCGCCTCTTGAGCCAGACTCGGATTATGACATTCGCAACACCGCAGTTCAGAAACACTCCTTCCACTGACACTCAAGTTACCTCCTGCTCTTATTCTGCGCAGGAAAACAAATATCATTTATAAAACTGTCATTTGGAATCCAGGTGCGTCCTCCCTCCCAGCACTGCCAGCACAACCACACTGACATTATGTTGTGGCTGTCTCGCCTCTACCGCGTCCACCTATCACGCGTCTTAACCATCATATATGTACCCCCATATATGTGTATATATATATATATATATATAATATATATATTATATATATGTATATATATATATATATATATATATATATATATGTCGTGCCGAATATGGTAAAACTGGTCAATTAGCAAGAACTCATTTAAAATTAAGCCCTTCTAAAATTTTTCTCTTAACGTTTAAAGATATTTTTTTTTCATTAATGTTGATGTAAAAAATTATAATTTTGCACCAAAATGAACTTAGAAAATTTACCTAACCTTATTAAACAAGCGCAATTTATTTCAGCCTTTTACCCAACTAAATATATTTTAGATTTGTTTACAATAATTTAGTACTAAAACAACACAGTGAAATTATTTTTTCGTTAGGTTCAGAATGATTTTGGCGAAATTATTGCATACACAAATTTTCACTTGTCCTATATGGCAAGAGAGCGTTGCTATTTAAGCCAAGATCGCAAGTTCTGCCTATTCGGCACGACAATTATATATATATTAATATATATATATATATATATATATATATATATATATAAATATATAATATATATATATAAATTATATGAGAGATCTATACATATCTTGTTCTGTTTCCTGACAAATGATACCAAACCAAAATATACATATGCACAGTATTAAAAAGAATCACATATTTGTATACTGTCTCATTCACAATCTTGTGAATGAGACAATATACAAATAACCTGCACATAGGTAATATTAGGTCAGGAATTATTAATTTAAAAGGCACAAACATCAATACAGTAGTACAATATATCAAAGATTATGAATCTCCTCCGGCTCCTCTGAAGCTTGACGCGAGCCAAGTGTACAGCAAGCATTTCCCTTCTAGATGGTCACGTAGAGGCGCTGGAATATGACAGTGGCTGGCCTTGGGTCCCTAGTTTAGTCAATGAGTCTGGAACCCAGTTGTTTGAGGAAATGTGTGACATTCTTTCCCCATGAAAGTTTGCTTTAATCCCTGTTTTAAAAATTGAAGTATTCTTGTATTCTGTGAACAAGTGAACTTCAGCCTTAATGACCCGCTGAGTAATCTCAGTTGAAAAGCCTACACCAATAATTCCTTTCCCAAGAATATATATATAATGTTTACGCTATTTGTCAGCCAAATAGTGTTAAGCAAAGTTTATGCGCTATAAGAATAATTAAAAATGTATAGTTTGTTAACAGGGTTAAAATTTAAAAAGAATAAGACAACCATTTTACCTTTCGTGTTTTGGATAAGTTTAGATTTAATTGTTTTTATTAGCAGCTTACAAGAGACACAAAAATTGTAAAGGTCGCCCGTATAATTCCGAAATTCAGCGTATCAATAAGCAGAACCATAACAATCTGTCAGCCCCTGTAAGTTTGTCTTTCATTCCAAGTAGTTGTGCCAACCTCAGTGTACACACAAGTCTATAGTGTACACACAAATCAATAATGTAGACACAATATATAGTACTCACACAAGCTTATAGTGTACACACGTCTATAGTGTACACACAAGTCTATAGTGTACACACAAGTCTATAATGTACACACAAGTCTATAGTGTACACACAAGCATATAGTGTACACACAAGCATATAGTGTACACACAAGTCTATAGTGTACACACGAGCTTATAGTGTACACACAAGTCTATAGTGTACACACAAGTCTATAGTGTACACACAAGCTTATAGTGTACACACAAGTCTATAGTGTACACACAAGTCTATAGTGTACACACAAGTCTATAGTGTACACACAAGTCTATAGCGTACACACAAGCATATAGTGTACACACAAGCATATAGTGTACACACAAGTCTATAGTGTACACACAAGCTTATAGTGTACACACAAGTCTATAGTGTACAGACAAGCTTATAGTGTACACACAAGTCTATAGTGTACACACAAGCTTATAGTGTACACACAAGTCTATAGTGTACACACAAGTTGTAGGGTTACCTACCTGTAGTTAACTTCAGGTGACCTAATATATGTTATAAACATGGGAAACCGCTAAACTCTTAAGGGTCATATAATGCCTGGGGATAAAAGGCAAACAAGTTTGATCGAAAAAAATGAGGAAGGATAACTCTACTTCCTTGGATCATGAGCCCTAGAGCCCTACACTAACCATCAAGCGACTCCACCCTTGAAGGTCCTACGAGGAAAGTGTGTCAGGGGCAACTGCATAATAAAAATAAGAAAATTATTATTATTATTATTATTATTATTCATAAGCGCTGAACAGGGGTAACAGAAGGAAAGGCATGAACGTCTGGTAACGCAAGAGGTATGTTAGGAGAAAGTAATCCCTGGCTCTGGCTCATTACTTCTGAGTAATGACAGCATATTTCACTGTCCATGATACAATATCATCCGAGCTTCATTGTTCATGATACACCATCATCCGAGCTTCATTGTTCATGATACACCATCATCCGAGCTTCATTGTTCATGATACACCATCATCCGAGCTTCATTGTTCATGATACACCATCATCCGAGTTTCAACGTTCATGATATACAATCATCCCAGCTTCATTGTTCATGATACACCATCCGAGCTTCAACGTTCATGATACACCATTCGAGCTTCAACGTTCATGATACACAATCATCCCAGCTTCATTGTTCATGATACACCATCATCCGAGCTTCAATGTTCATGATACACCATCATCCGAGCTTCATTGTTCATGATACACCATCATCCGAGCTTCAACGTTCATGATACACAATCATCCAAGCTTCATTGTTCATGATACATCATCATCCGAGCTTCAACGTTCATGATATACAATCATCCCAGCTTCACTGTTCATGATACACCATCATCCGAGCTTCAACGTTCATGATACACCATCATCCGAGCTTCAACGTTCATGATACACCATCATCCGAGCTTCAACGTTCATGATACACCATCATCCGAGCTTCAACGTTCATGATACACCATCATCCGAGCTTCAACGTTCATGATACACCATCATCCGAGCTTCAACGTTCATGATACACCATCATCCGAGCTTCATTGTTCATGATACACCATCATCCGAGCTTCAACGTTCATGATATACAATCATCCCAGCTTCATTGTTCATGATACACCATCATCCGAGCTTCAACGTTAATGATATACAATCATCCCAGCTTCAGAAGCACAAGACAGGTGTTGTACAATGACACCTGTTGTAGAATGTCGTGATTACTTGCGGCTGCACACGTCATCATTGTCATGAAGACACTATCGCAATATAGATTCTTCTTTGACTGAGTATTTTTGGGGAATGTGGTTTCTGTTTTCTGCAAAACACACACACACACACACACACAACAACAGGCCTAGTGTCTAATCGACATGTGCCTAGGACAAAATGGTAAATAACACACCGAGAGGAATTGATAGATTGGATAAGGACAGGATGTTTCAGAGATGGGACACAGCAACAAAGGGTCACAACTGGAAGCTGAAGACTCAGATGCATCACAGGGATGTTAAGAAGTATTTCTTCAATCATAAAGTTGTCAGGAATTGGAACAGTCTGGGAAGTGATTTAGTGGAAAAAGGATCCAAACATAGCTTTAACAAGAGATACGATAAAGCTCATGGAGCAGTGAGAGAGTGGACCTAGTAGCAACCGGCGAAGAGGCGAGGCCAGGAGCTATGAATCGACCCCTGCAACTACAAATAGGTGAGTACACACACACACATCTAAAACTACCATGGCTATACCCTGTAGGGGATATCTAATATGTGAAAAAGTTTAAATAAATTAGGGATATACTGAATTATTTACCCTCCTCACTTTTGAAGTTTTCACTGATACATAAAACAAGAAATACATTTCAAAACACGACTGAGTACAACAGGTACAGAGTACATTTCCACACTCCACTGGGCACGATTTACTGTACAATAAAGGCAATTCGTGTTTGAGACGAGGTATATACTTCCTTTCTGTTACCTAGATCACTCAACAACAGTCGTTGTGGTGTGGCTTGGTACTCAATCGTGTTTGACGAAGCGCTAAACCCGTGTGGGTCATCCAACGTAACAAGTAGTTGAGACTCGAGTCTTTGTCCGGTGTGGTCCCAGACTGGCCAGGTTGTGACTGGAAACTGATGCTGGTGTGCGTACTCACCTATTTGCAATCACCTATTTGCGGTTGCAGGGGTTGATTCATAGCTCCTGGCCCCGCCTCTTCTCTGAGTGCTACTAGGTCCTCTCTCTCCCTGCTCCATGAGCTTTATCAAACCTCGTCTTAAAACTATGTATGGTTCCCGCCTCTACTACGTCACTTTCTAGGCTATTCCACGGCCTGACAACTCTATGACAGAAGAAATACTTCCTAACATCCCTTTGACTCATCTGAGTCTTCAACTTCCAATTGTGACCCCATGTTTCTGTGTTCTATCTCTGGAACATCCTGTCTTTGTCCACCTTGTCTATTCCGCGCAGTATTTTGTGTGTCGTTATCATGTCTCCCCTGACCCTCCTGTCTTCCAGCCAATTTCCCTTAACCTTTCTTCGTAGGACAATCCCCGTAGCTCTGGGACTAATCTTGTTGCAAACCTTTGCACTTTCTCTAATTTCTTGACGTGCTTGACCAGATGTGGATTCCAAACTAGTGCTGCAGTATGGGCCTGACGTATACGGTGTACAGAGTTTTGAACGATTCCTTACTGAGGTATCGGAACGCTATCCTTAGGTTTGCCAGACGCCCGTACGCTGTAGCAGTTATCTGATTGATGTGCGCCTCAGGAGATGTGCTCGGTATTATACTCACCCCAAGATCTCTTTCCTTGAGTGAGGTTTGCAGTCTTTGGCTACCTAGACTGTACTGTGTCTGCGGTCTTCTTTGCCCTTCCCCGATCTTCATGACAGCATTTGGCAGGGTTAAATTCAAGGAGCCAGTTGCTGGACCAGACATGTAACCTGTCCAAGTCTCTTT